TCGCCTAGGTTACAACAAACGTGGTCGGCCGTCCGTCATGTTCCTAGTTCAGTGGTCTACCGCCAGTGGCCGTGACGCGTCCTGGGAACCGTACGATGACGTCCGCAGCCTACCAGCACTTCGTGCCTTCCTGGCGACCCCAGCCTGGACCTCGTTTGTCAGACCGCTATGCCTGGTTCAGAGCGAAGTTTCCGGACCGCACCCCGAGGATAGTGCACTTCGTGACAACCTAGCGCTACGCATAGGATGTGTGTCGTGTGTGGCTCGTGTCCTGTGTGTTTCAGTTTTGGGTTATTTCGCCTCTGTTTTGCGCGAGTCGTGTCTTGACTTCTGTTTTTCTTCGGGTTGCTGCGTGTTGCATGTCGTGTACTTTCGCGTTTTCTTGCGTTATGTTGTCATCCACCGAGTCTGCTTTTCTGTGCCTTAGGCCTATGGTTTGCGTACTCTTTGTGGATGTTTTGGGCACGTTCGTTTGGTTATATACCGGTTCCTTAGACCGGCCTGTATAGGTGTCGTGCGCCTTATTTAGGCCGGTATCCAGTGCGGGGAAGGTTTTGCCTTGACTCCGGTTCCCTTTTGCCTTCCCCTCGTTAGCCTGGTACCGATTTCGTTCAGGGAATCGGAGCGGCGCACGATCTAGTTTAGTTTGTACTTTCGATCGCATCGAGGCCGATGCTTGTGTTAAGCAGGGGGGCATGTTAGGTTTTCTCGATAGTTGTTAAGTCGTTAACTTTACTCGTGGACACGCATTTGGATTAGGGATAATGTACGACCTTTCGGCGCCGCCTAGGCTCTGGATAACTATTTAAGTCGTTGTTGTTGTTTAGATTGTTATGTCATCGTATTGCATCTTGTAGGTTTTTAGCTGGCTTAAGTCGCTCGGCCATCAGTGTAACTATCTTGACATCCCAACCAGAACCGGAGTCCATTCTCTTTCACAGACCCCCAATAAGTGGAAATATTGTTTCATCTTGGCAAACACACTGTTCTGCATCTCACGCGGCACTGTTACGGTATTTTGCAGAGTGGAAAACCAGGCAGGACGCAACCGTCCTGCTTGACCGATGATGCACGTCACAGACCATAATACAGACGCGATTTGCGGCGGAAAAACAATTTGCTTCTCACGCCAAGTCGTCATACTACTGAGTCGAGTGCGAGACGCGCGAACGCTCACAAGCGCAAACACTGACAACGATAAAAGGGATCACGTTAACTGTCTCGCAGAAGGGAAGTGCAAACTGGGAAAGAGGGAGAACGCCGGACACCGCCCGGGTCCGCCACGGGCGCGGTCACACAGAGCACTCCGAAAGCAAACAAACTGCACGCGCGCGTAGGCCGCCCCGCTGTCGATGGCCTACCCGCATACCACCTTCCCTAACACCTGGGAGGAAACACGGGTTAGCCCCCAAACCACCGAGATAGCAACACAAGAGGGGAGGGAGTGCGGGGAAAACAATAGTAATCGGGGCACGTCGAACGGGCGCCTGCCACGCTGCTGCTAAGGCAGGAAGCGAAAGCAAAGCATCACACAGTCGACCAGATGGACGAAAAAGACTAAGCCAACAGTACTTACCCGGCAACACACTAAGGCTAAGCTCCAACAAGGGCCGGGCCGAGCATGGCCAGAGTACGGAAACCTCCAACTGCCATAACGACCGCACGGCTACAATTCGCCTGCAAACCCCGTCTTCGGTTTCACCTGAAATCAACCCTCCACACAGAGCACGCACAAGGGCGCTTGCACACGGTCGAAGCCGCATACGGCGAGGGAGTACCTGCAACAGCCCGGAAAACTCTGCTAGTCCAAGTTTCAATTTGTAAAACGTAAAAACTTTCATTTTGCAGTACAATAAGGTGTTCATAGTACAGCTTGAACAAAAAAACGTTGGCATAAGAACGGCCCAGCAGACGAACCCTCTTGCTGGGCCATACCGTCGTACGCAGTTCCGAACCAAGATCGAGGCATTCGTGGGGACGGATCGCCTTAGGGCATCATGCTGGTTGTGTCTGTGGCAACTAAATCGTTCCTTCATATCCCAATCACCCCACACGACCCTCCCAACCTCTCCGATTCCTCAATTTTTTTGCATGCGGAGTATCACAACCCCACAACCCCACAACCCCACAACCCCACAACCCCACAACCCCACAACCCCACAACCCCACAACCCCACAACCCCACATCGATCCGTTGATAATCCACCAAACCATGATTCGACCAATACACCTATATCGTCACCACCACCATTGTGCGTTGAAGCTGCCGTTACCTCGCCACTTTGAAGTTTAAGGTGTATGCAGCACCCCTGTACGACTACGTGCCTTGTAGCCATGCACAGGCGGGCGTGATGCGCTTAGCTGCACACTGCCGAGCCGCTGCTGCTTGCTCGGGATGCGAGCCTTGGGAACGGCCCTCCAGGCAGTGCCTAAGTTGCGGCGGCTTGATTGCGACGCATATCGTAGCCTGATGAACGCATCTCGTCATGTTTGTGAGCTGTTCGTTCATGATGCTCTGCATGAAATTCAGGTCATCATTAGAAAGCCCCAAATGGCATATGTGTACGGCATGAGGGCGGTGGACACCAACAGCTCATCCAGAAAACGAGGCTTCGCTAGGGTTTAGGCTGGGCGTCCAGTAATAAGGTGGATATGCCTTTCTACCATACGCGGCATCTTTCTTCAAATATGTTTGGCAAGGAAAAAAGGTTGCCGAAACATCACAATGTGTTCATATTTTTGAACTGGAGACCTGAGAACAGGGAGTATCGAGAATCGGCGGCATTGCCTGCTTAGGACCCGAGCCCTGGGCAACAGAATGAAAAGATTGTTCAGCAAGAGAATTAAATCATCTGGAAATTCAGCGTTCATGAAAACTTGTACGAGATCTTGGACCTCTATCTTCTCCTTTCCAAACGGATATGAGTGGTCGCGGCCGATGAGAGCAGGAAGAGAAGCAAGTCAGTTAAAAGTTGTCCATCCTCCAAACGCTGAAACGACGAAGTATCCAGGTGGACAAATTCTGTTAAGCAAAGAATTGCTTTACGTGCGCCGCTCGTGTTCGTTCAGCTTCCGCAAGGCTTTCACGGGCGTCCACGAAGATAACTGTGATTCAAAATGGATCTATTTCCTTTGTGAATAGTTATTATCTCGCAGCTCAATGCGCCGGCATCTCGACGAACCGGATCATGGAGAAATGGGCTCAGGCAGAGAGGCAAGCAGACAACGTTGGGGGTAAACATACAGTCGCGCAAAACCGAAGCTCCATCGGGGCAATTCGCTTGCTGCGGGGTCACACGCAGAAGCGAAAGCGGGTATGTGTTGGACCCGCATCGTCACCTGTGCCTCCATAGTCGCGCCTCCTAGGACAGAGTCTTCTTGCCTTTCATAAGGCCGCCGTCGGCAGAATACGCTTCCGACGAGCCCACCAGGGATCGAAGTGAGGATACGCGAATAGCAGAAGCTGAAGGCCACTCGAGCGGAGCTGCCACTCTGACTTCATTTCCGCATGCAGGCCCACTTGTTTACACACGGCAGTGGCCAGCCGCAGTCGCCGGGCGCACAACCGCCTAGGAACTTGACGACCGCGCGCCGGTAGCCCGCCATTGGTTCTGTGTAACTCTCTAATTGGTCTTGGCTTGTGGCGCGGCTTTCTATCCCCCGGCGTCGGCGGCGGATTCTTTGAGTCCGGCTTCTGACAGCCTCGACTGCACGCAGAAGCAATTTCACACTACTCTGAGCGCGTTGCTATGAATGCTGTAATCCAAGCTACAGACCGAAAGACATGGAATGCATATGGGATGTTCATTCCAGGTCTTCAATGGAAAGCGGAAGGTGAACCCGAGGTGAAACTTTAACGGCAAAAGACAGCAACAATGGCAGCAGCAATGGATTATTGATTATTTGAGGCGCCCAGTGGCGAAGCACTTTTTTCATTTTTTACATAACATATGACTATATCGCCGGCTTACGATGCTTGATTTGTCCATTGCAGGACATCGAAGCCTTGGCTTTTCCGGTGGTTCTGTTCCAGGAAGGCGCGATACCTCGGGAACGAAGTCCATCATGGTTGCTGGT